AAAAATTCATTTCTCGGGCTTGGGACCTCGGAATTCGATTTCGGGCATACGCCCAAGTCCCATATTTTCCTACGGACCCTCCTGGACCGTAAAATTACGGGTCCGGGTCCGTTTACCTAAAATGTTGACCGAAGTCAATCTAAATTCATTTTAAAAGTAAAATTCATCATTTTTCACAGATTTTCACATAATGACTTTTCGGATACACGTCCGGACTGTGCACGCAAATCGAGATGAGACAAAAAAGGAAGTTTTAAGGCCTCGGAACACAGAATTTACTTTCAAAACGACTGATGACCTTTTGGGTCATCACAATGAAATATCGAAGTATTTTGAAAATCGGCTTGCCTAGTACCATCGATAGGCGCCATCACGACAGGTTAAGGATTTGGGTCGTGACACTTTGCCTCCTGCTAGAGAAAGCATGTCTGGTTGGTTAGTTGTTGTTAAAAGTTTGAAGTTAATTAATTGAGAATACATAGGTTCATGATTAGAGGCGAATTTATAATTTTAATTTAATGAGTTTGATATTTAAGGTCTTTAGACATTATGAGTTCAGATTTGATATTCTATGGAAAATTTGGCATGTTTTTTCATATATATTAGTATATTATGTTTTACGTCAAAAATATTAGGTATAAATGAAAGAGTTGATGAAAGGCTAGACCCGTCCCTGATGACGAGGTCTGTAAAAAATTTTGGTTTAACTATCAGCTCTCCAAACTCCATAGTTCAATGGCCGACTAATCTGCATTTATGTCGCATAGGCCCTACTAAAAGAGAAAATGCTTCTTAACATGTTTTTTTTTCTTTTCAATTTTTATTTCTATGCCTCGAACTAGAAACCTGCTATTGAAGGTAGAGGAAATCTCATCCACGCATTCTACCACACTCCTAGATGGTATTAGTGTGTAAGTTTTGATATAGGCATAAATGCCCAATACTTAGATAGATTTAATTTGAAGTATTTTATTTGAATGCATGTCATCCAGATATTAAATTTGAATACATTCTTATTAAGTTTGGTGATATTTTTGGAGGTTAAGAATAAATGGTTCTGTTCTATTGCTACTTCAAATATGTTTTTCTTTATAAATTTTGTATGTCCAAGATGGCTTTTTAACAATTCAATTCCAATTTCATTCACTACGATATAACATGTGACAAGTTGCTATTTTAATTATTACTTTAAATTTAAATGGTATCTTCTGCAGCTAACCATGATAAATGCTTTATTGTGTGGGGTTTGATTGCTTTAAAGCAGTGAGACGGGAGCCAAAGTGCTCATAAACAAGGGACTATGCAGGAAACAAAAGGACATCTAATCTGTTACATGGAAAAAAATGACAAATGATTTTTCATATATTTATTTCTACAAGAAATCAGGTTATTTTTATAGAAAAATCTCACTTTATACCCATTAATTCCAAACTATTTACCCTTTAATGCTCATGCCCAAATTATTTACTTCTCCTACTCATGCGGCCCAAACTATTTACCCGGTCCGTTATTCATTTATTCTATCCTCACCAACCGCAATAAAGGGTTGTACGAGTATAGCTATACTGACAGCATTTATGACTTAAACTAGTAGATCTTTAAGATAAGCATTAATTCGTAACTTGAAGTTGTGCCCTCGTCCAAATTCTCAGTGTTGAAAGAAGAGCTACCATAGTAGGTAGTTTATGACTCTATAAGGGTAGAGAAATTTGGGTGAAAATCCAAGATTAAAGAAGGCTTGGTCTTAATTTTAGTAACTCCAGGTCCTTGAATTATTTCCTTGTTTGTTACTTCTTGACTTACTTGTAATTTGTTCTTACAAAATTGTTCTTCCATTTCCCTTATATCCTTCTTCAAAAAGAAATTAGATCTGATTATCTGAGAAGTTGGCCTCTGGCTAGTTTTAATTCTACTCCACATTTTCTTGATTGTTTTTTCCCTAACTCTTGCTCTTGCCTTGGCCCTTGACTTTCTTGCAACTAGCAAGATCTGTTGCCTCATTTTTACTTCTTTCTTTTCTTTTGCTAATCTTTTGGGCTTTCTTTCTAAACCCTCATTTGGTGTTGAAGAAGAACACAACTATCCAATAGTATACCGCTACGGTATACAATATGTTGTAGCAGTATATAGCTATACTGCAACAGTATACTATTATAGTCTATAGAGAAATTTTCACAAACCACTATTGTTTAGTGGTTATTAGCTAGTTGTAGCTACAATTTACGATATTACTTCCTATAGCTATGTTTTCAGGTTTTTTAGAGTGTATCGATGTATTTAAGCTATTGTATTCATGAATACAGTAGCATTTCTCGGCGTGAAACAGGGGATTACAGCTAGATAAATTATTGTATTCGATTGTATTCGACTGTATTCACGATATGTATTTGTGAATACAGTAACGTAAATAGCGCAATTCATGGTCTATTCAGCTGTTTTTAAACGGAAAGTGAATCAATTAACACAAATAGACTCCTAATATAACTCAACAAACTCAATTATAAATCTGAATACATAAATACATCTGAATACATAAATTATATTAATTAAAAAAAACATATGAATACATTCATGGAATATAGCGAGACAGTGAATACAATAAAATACATGAAATATAGTGAGATACATTGAAATACAATGGAAAAAAAAGACAATGAATACAATGAAGTACATAGAATACAGCGAGATACATTGAAATACAATGAAAGCCATATGTATTATATCAGCTCAATTCGAGTCCTTTTTCTTGTTTGTCACTATTACACCGACGCCGACGCCGACGCCGACAACAAACAGATAAAATAATTTTTACAGTTTTACAATTCAAGAAATTGGCATCTGTCGGACTGAAATCCTAGAGAGGAAAAAGGAAATTTAATTGTATTCAGAGAGTTGAATTTCGAATAGCGCCGGTCCGCCAATCTTCGTCGCCGGCTCCGACGAGCATAAATTATAAAGAAAAATATGTTAACACGTCCTTCTGCCAAGCTGGTATCTGAAGTAGGTCATGAGATCTGATTCGTTAAAACAAGCCATAATATATTTAGAAACGAGAGAAAGAGGATTTATGGATTTATGGCTTGAATAGAAACAATTTGATTGTCCTTCTATCAACGCGTCCGTCTCAAGACTACTACAAACTACTTATCTTCCTCAGTAGGCCATGAGATCTGATTCATTAAAACAAGAGAAATTTTCATGGAGAAAGACTGGAGTTGAGAGAGAGAGGGTGGAGAAAAATTTAAAAGAATGAGAGAGAAAAATAATACAAAGCGTATTTTATGGCTTAAGAGTAGTAGGTGACCATAAATAGATATTTGGCTATAAAAATTAAAAGGTTGTTATGGAATATAATTTTTTAAAAGGGTATTTATTTAAAATAAATAAAGTATCAACCTTTGCTATAGGAGGTAAAAATTCCTAGTTTATAATATACTGCAACGGTATATTGTAATAATCGAAGAAGAACACAGTTACCTTACAGGAAACCGCTACAGTATACAATATACTATAGGAGTAAATAGTTATACTAAAACAGTATACTATTATAGTATACAATATATTGTTATAGTATACTGGAAGAATATGCAATATACTGTAACAGTATGCTGTTATAGTATACAATATACCATAATAGTATACTTATTACCCGTAAATTCACTTGCCTTTTCCCTTTTAATTTGCTTTAAGTTTTTACCCAGTATGAGGGGCAAATTAAAAATTCAAATCTTTTTTTTCGTTTTGATTTATTCTATGACTTGAATTCCAAGACTTCTGACTTCTGCAAAACATTAATCTACCATTGGAGGACCTTGAAGCTTTGAAACTCATAAATTGGGTTTGTTGAGTTAGTGGTTATTTTGAAACTCAAAACAAGAATTTTCTTTTAACTCTTTGCGTACAATTGTATAACCTGTTGGTATAGCTATATACTATACTGGTATCATATGTTAGTTAATATTTTTTGGTTGTATTAGCTACATTTAATTGGTACACAATTTGATTTTTCTTTAGTAATAGTGTAAAAAAAGAATAATAAGAAATAGTGAAAACAGTAAATGAAATTAGATTATGAAGAGAAAAAGAATATAAAAAAAAAGAAGTTAAATGAAATTAGAAAAGGAAAAAAGAAAAAAATAAGAAGAAAACAAGAAAAAAGAAAAGGAGAAAAAAAAAAGAAAAAGAAAAGAAGCATAGAAATAAAAAAGAATTGGAGAATAAAGAAAAAATTTCCCTCAAAAACTACAATGGTTAGGAAATGTAATTAGTTTATGGGTAGAAAAATAAATGGATAGACAAGGGTAAATAATTTTATTTTTGTGGGTAACTATGTCATTATCCCTACTTTTATATAAGGTCATCAAACTTTTAGCCCGCAGCCAAAACTATTTACATACGGTAGCTGCATAAATATATAAAACTTGTATATTTATTATATATAACATACAAAAATTTATATATACACAAAAAGTATATATATTTTGGCTATTATTTCGGGAACAACTACGCAATGTCATTTTTCCGATAAAAAAAGGCCTGTAATGTTTGGGCATGTTTGAAATATATTACTTTAAATTTGTCAAAGGTGAACGCTTTTGATTTTCTTTAAATGTTTAGCAAAAGCTAGCTGTTAAATTTCATCAAAAAATGTGAGGAAAAAAGATTTAACTAAATACATCAGGCAAGTACCGTCAAATCCTAAAAACTACATCAAAAACTGAATTAGACAAAAATAACATAAATTGTACCTAAAATTTGGTAACAGACTTAAGAAATGAACCAAAACTACAGGAAAAAAAAAAAAATCTATGATTGTGTTTGGTATGAAAAAAAATATTTTTTAATTTTTTCATATTTGATTGACTTAAATATTTATTCCGCTAATTTTTTTTTTCCCACAGTTCTGGTCAAATTAATAAGTTAATTTGAAGATCAAAAGTGTTCACATTGTGGCAAACTATTTTAGACCATTTCTGTCATTTTTGTCAGAAATGTTCACAATGACCATCTCAAGAAGAGTACTAAAAAAGCCCCTTTCTCCTCCCTTACACCACCTCTCCACCACCACCACCCCCACCACCACCACCCCTCCATGGTTCACCCCACCCCCACCCCCACCTCACCAACATCAAGATTCATCAGACCCAATACTCAATACCCTTTCAGAAGCCACAAAAAACTCTCACATTAAACCCCTTAAAACTTCCCTTAAAACCCTCCTCCCATCTCTTAAACCCCAACACATAATCAACCTCATTAACCTTAATCCTCATTCTTTAACCCCTTCTTCTCTCCTTTCTTTCTTCACATGGCTTTCTTCTACTTCTCACAATTCAAAATATTGCCACACACTTCACACTTATTGCACTATGGCCCTTTTTCTTTACACCCACAAAATGAATTCACAAGCTTACTCTTTTATCCACACTATTGTTTCAAGAAGAGGTAAAGACTCTGCCTTTACTGTTTTTCAAGCAATCTTGAAAGCTAAAGGTACCAACTTTACATCTTTTGTGAATGTTTTAAATGGACTTATTGCTGCTTATTTGGATTTGGGGTTTGTTTCTGATGCTATTCAGTGCTTTAGGCTTATCCAAAAACATAAAATTAGGTTCCCATTTCAAGGTTGTACTAAGGTTCTTGAATATTTAATGAAGCTTAATTCACCAATGGTAGCTTTTGATTTTTATAAGGAGATTTTGGAATATGGGTATCCTCCAAGTTTGTATTTTTTTAATGTTTTGATGAGTAAGTTGTGTAAGGAAGGTAAAATGGTGGAAGCACGGTCGGTGTTTACGGAGATGTGGAAGAGGAATTTGAGACCTAGTGTTGTTAGTTTCAATACTTTGATAAATGGGTATTGTAGATTAGGTGATATTGATGCAGGGTATAGGTTAAAAAGAGAAATGGAGGAAAGAGGAATTTTGCCCGATGTTTATACTTATAGTGCTCTGATCAACGGGCTTTGCAAGACCTTTTGGATGAGGGACGCGAACGAGATGTTTAATGAGATGTGTGTAAAAGGGTTGGTTCCGAATGTTGTTATATTCACGACTTTGATTAATGGCCATTGCAAGGATGGTAGCATCGTTTTGGCCATGGATGCTTATCAACAGATGCTGACGCAAGAGGTGGAACCGGATTTGATTACATATAACACACTTGTCAATGGACTTTGTAAGAGTGGGGATTTAGGGGAAGCGAGGAAGCTCATTCATGTAATGATTGAAAAGGGTTTGAAGCCTGATAAGATCACATACACGACGGTTATTGGTGGATGTTGTGCAGAGGGAGATTTAGATGGAGCATTTGAGATCAAGAAAATGATGTTTGATAATGACATTGAACTAGATGATGTAGCATATACAGCTCTTATCACAGGTTTGTGTCGGCAAGGGCGAATGGTTGATGCTGAGAGGATTTTAACTGAAATGTTGAATGCTGGTTTAAAGCCTGATGACCCTATTTATACTATGGTAATCGATGGTTTTTCCAAGAAGGGAGATGTTAAGATGGGTTTTAAGTTGCTAAGGCAGATGCAAAGTAATGGACATGCGCCTAATGTTATAACTTACAATGCTCTTTTAAATGGTCTATGCAGACAAGGACAGATGAGAAATGCTGAAATGTTATTACAAGCCATGCTTAATCTTGGTTTGAATCCAGATGACATTACCTATAACATACTGTTGGATGGGCATTGCAAGTATGGAAATCCTGATGATTTTGATAAGCTACGTGGTGAAATGGGGCTTGTTCATGATTATGCTACTTATACTTCACTAATTGGTAGCTTAAGTAGGAGCTCGAAACGTCAGGCCAGGAAGTGATGCATTTAATAGGAGCACCCAAGACTACCATCTTAACTGCCTTTTAGTAGGTGGATTTCATTCCATAAGTTAATTACCCTGTGAATAATGATCATTGGAGTGATGCAAGATGTTATCCAAATAGTATTGAATGGATCGGCGGATGTTTCTCCTGGATTGTGAATGATGCTGTAAGATGGATTCCAACTAATGCAATCTTGGTATACATTGAGATGATGTTAGGTTTTGATGGCTTGTGATGTCCTGTGGTATCCAGGTATATATTCATTACCTCACAAAACTGCTAGAAAAGAGTAATTTCGTTTATTTCTTCTTCTTGCTATACCATTCTTTGTCTAATAATATCAAAAGAGAAAAAGTCAATAGTTTATATGAACCGTTGCGTGCATACAAGTATTTTTTAACAAGGATGCTTCATTTTTTTTTTTTTTGAGATTATCGTATCACAAACGAGACAGTTGATTCATAGAGGGAAATTACTTTTAGCGTGGCAAAGTAAAAACAAGGAAGGTATATTGCAATTAAACAACTCTCGATAACGGAGGTGGTTGAATTACCATGGACCACTATCTTGAGCGGCACCCTCCGCTACTTCCACCAATATTTCTATTTCTATTCATGATAATTCTTGACTTATTTGATACATGTTGATCATAGACTTCTTTTCTGGCTTGATGGTTTCCTTGATCAGGTAAATTAGAGGTTTCATTAATAATGCATCCAATAGAAGCCAAAATTACATCAGTGAGCAAAAAATTGGTTAGCTCCTTTAAAGTGAATCTCCTATATGCATTCGAAGAATCTCCTTGATTTTTGATTGATGATTGATGATGTACTTACATTGTCTTGACACTTAATGGAACCTAACGAAAGTGAAATACTATGCCGGAAGTGCTTTGAACTTTTGACTTAACAATCCCAGTCCAAACCATTATTAGACTGACCCATTTCCAGAACATTGTGAATTCAACCAAGCCGCATGGCAGTCCGGCAAAAACAACATTACCGAAATACAACATATTTTGGTTTGTTTTGCTTGTACTATTCATTCTGTCTAGTTTTTCATGTACGAAGTTGGTTTCATTGTTTAGGCATATTAATTAAGCTACTTTTGGGATTGTTCAACTCAAGTATCAATTGTAAGATATGTGTGTAAAGCCCAAGTTTCTAAACTTGCAATTTTGCGCTTTCACCTCTTTGTCGCCCTGATTAAACTTTTTTCTCTGTGTGGATTCTTTAAAGAACGTTTCAGCGTCTTTATTGTCTATTATCTTATTACCTTTCTTTCGTTTTGCAGTGTATTGCCTTTCATTCTTTGAGGAATTTTTGAATTGCAATCTCAACATGTCAGTGCGCTTCCCTCAGGACATGTGAAAAGTGTCTCACAGATACCTATTCTTAAACCAGTCCATCAAAATTGCAGTGTGCATACGCCAGTGATGAAAAGCGATCTGTTTCTCTGCAATTTGAAAATGCCTAAAAATCTACTAGAGGAAGCAAGTATATCATTTTTCAGCCTCGAGGATCTATCATATGCCATGGAAATTACAAACAGAACATGAGTAAGCTTCAGATGTGTGACATTCAATGATGACCTATGCCAAGTTCAACAGCTTTGTTGAAAATGCAAGTTCAGGCTCAGAGATAGAAACAGATTTCGGGTATCCTTGTCTCACTCCTAAGCTGATAAACGTACAGAGACCTAATCCGAGCTGTCTTTCCATTTGCAATGTTATCTAAATATGCACAGGGAAAACAGTTCCAGGTGTTTGTATTTCATCAGTTAGTTTAAGTGGGGTTCGGCAGGGCGGCTCTTTGACGCATAGTAGCTGCAAGAAAAATAGGGCTGTTTCGATTTTTGACTGACAAGTGCAGATGAAACACTTTTGAATAAGTATGTGTACATGCAAAAGAAAACTCAGCCTGTAGTCAAAATTTACATAAAGAAGGGAGAATTATTTCAAAGTGGTTCACGTAGCTTAGCTGGACTGAAAATCCTTGTGTGGTTCGAAACTACATCCACTTTACAGCAAAGAAAGAGAATATGGGGTAGAGAAATTAATCAATTCATCAGGCTCATCATCCGAAGATTGCAAGTTCTAATCCTGTCCCTGCCGAATCAGTGGAACATTGTTCACTAGGATAGAAGGCGGGTAATGCCAATTGACAAAGTGATGTTAAGCATCCCTATTGGTACGAAAAGAGGGGCCGTGATAATATCATCTACGTACTGCTCTTCGTTAAGTAGATTCGATAAGACTTGATTCGCTCCTAGCCACTCCGGGGTACCATAGCATGTCGAAAATAAGGGGGGAGATACTCGATGTGACCACTCCCTTTGTTGGGGGATTGCCGCCCTGCTCTTTGAGTTTTGACTTGCAAGTATCCGTTGGTTCACTACTTCTTAACGTGTCTATACAATTTATGTAAAATCGTGTGTACGCCATTGGTCGAATCATTCTTTTATATCTTCTCAATTGGTCTAGCTATCTCAAGTTTCGTAGTTTTTTGAGAGCAAATGGTTGAATTATAACTCATTGCGCTCTAATTTGATGAAATGGAAGACCGTCTAGACCAAATTACTAAATTCAGATCCATCAAGTATCCAAATGGTATATAGGTGAAGTTGTTGTATGCCAAATATAGCTTGGGTTTGAACAATTTTTTACCTCAAAATTTATGAATTGAGTTCCTTTCAGTGTGGAACAAGATTATGAACTAGTTATATATATATATATATATATATATATATATATATATATATATATATATATATATATATATATATATATATATATATATATATATATAATACTTATTTACTTTATATATACTTATTAGAAGAGGGAACACATGCATCTCTCCGTCAACGTGTGTGTTCCCTTGAATTTTCTAATTTGTCTTGGGGTATTTTTGTAATTTCATTAATTTACAGCTCAACTTTATTGTTGCTGACTCTTTCTGCCGTTGGAACAACACGTGGACTCCGAATTCCTCAAAGCTAAAAACTCCATTCAACAGAACTTGTTAGAAGCATCCACTTCCGAAATAACTAAAAAATAACGAAGAATGGAAAGAGGGCAACATCAATTGCCCCAAAATCCAGCAGACCTCACCTAATAATTCTAACGCAATTTGAGCAGTCAGCCTTTTTCGATTCACATCTACCACAAAGGGCAGGTTTTTTTCATTTTATTTATGCTTTCTGTTCTACTTTTTCTTCTTCTGCAAAAAGATCAGATCTTTGGGGTTTTGGCTTGATTAGCAATCTTTTTATTCAGTTTAGTCTTAAGATTCGTTTCAGAAAGGTGAAAACAAACTGAGGTTGGGTTCTGATTTGTTCTCGGTTTTTATTAATTTGTTTATTTTGGATTTTTTATGTGAATTCTAACTTCTCTTCAATTTTTTTATTTTGTTGCTATTCTACTTTCTTTAAAAGATGTAAAATACAAGTTGTTGACAAATCCGCCCTAAAATTAGCAGAGAGATCAACGGGAGCACTTTCAAACAACCATTGTCCAGGACGAAAACGTAAGTTCACAAACATTTCAACTACATAGTAAAACTTCTACCATATCTGTAAAGACTTTCTCCATCTTAGATGATAACAAATTGCAGGAAGACCAAATCTGCATCATAACATATGGTCCTGAAGTCCCACATTATGACAACCTGTTCAAACATTTCCACACATACCTCATCCCAGCAGCTAAAGTTAGGGAACCGTCACGTTTTGCAATACCCATGCATAGATTCGAATGGGTCGTCGATACCTTCAGTATTGCCGAAGAAGTTACAGAGAACAGTGAAGAAGAATCAATGTTACCGTTGCCTACGAGATTAAACATGGTGTCGTTTGCCAATATGGAGAAACAGATTCCAGGAGATGAATTCGGTAAACAAATATGACTTTATACAATTTCATTTTTTGGTATAAAAAAGTCGTGCTTCTTCATTATCAAATTTAAATAATTGCATCCTACTTTTATACGCACATGTTTTTTTAAAGCGAGACCTGGTGGCAGTTGTGGCAAGTTGCGGTACCATGAAATATTAGGGGAGCGAAACAGAAGATTTCAAGAGGTTATTCTCATATACGACACGTAAGTAATATACACTTTAACTACCTCTAACAACAAAATATGTATTTAACACTGCATTCTTAATTTCATAGGAAAAAACCTTTTCTGTTTACTATATGGGGAGAATTGGCTGACAATGATGGAGCTGAACTAGTGCAGCAGCTACATAGGTATCCTGTCATTGTTGCAAAACGAATAGCTGTTTCTAACTTTAAATAAGGTATTCCCAAGTAACATTACATCACACATGTACATTAATTAATGTTTAGCTTCATTCATTAATAACTATCTGCAGAGGTCCGACTAACAACAAGGTTCAACTCCTCAATCTTAATCGACCATTTGTACCTGCAGGCAGCAAAGCTAATGAATTGGTATGAAACAGGTTTTATTTGCACACCAATACGTTCCATTTTTTAATACCATATTATACCAAAAAACTCACAATATCTACTATTACATCGCAGGGCAAATGACAACAAGCAGATGCTAATTGAATACACTCTCAAAAGTACATCAGAATCGTCTTCGATACTAAATGTTGCACCTTTTGAAGATCAAATAGTTCCCATTTCAAGCATTCCTTCACAGTTCACCATGAGTATATTAAAGCATATGACTCGGGCTTGGCATCGATTGTTCTTTTGCTTCTATATCGGATTAGAAATAGCCTCTTGCGAGTTATTCTATGTCGTAATTACTAAGTAGTATCTTCTTATTATTTTCTCACAGGCACACAATTTTTATGTTGAAGGAGAAATATCGTTGCCAAGCGAATTCCAGTTTTTCTTTGTACTTTTATGCTCTGAGTGTCACATCTAGCACGAATCAAGCGCAAAAAGAAAGTTCTCTGTATCAACTGCAAGCTAGAAAGAACGCTGATTCCAAGGTAATAACAGTTCTTACCATTAACATATTATGACTAACGACATCTGATAGCTAAAACTTTATTATCGCACAAACACAACATTGTAGATGTGAATTTGAAGTTGACATCACAGACGGGTGAAACAATAACAATAGTAGTGTCAGACAAACTAGTTGAAAGAATGATTCACTGACAGCAGACCAAATATATGAAACTACCATTATCAAGGTGCATATACTAACAACTCTAGAATCATTTTGCGTCACTCGAATTAATTTAAAATTCTCACTTTGTCAATTCTGTGGTAAACTTTTTTCCATAGAAACAACTGTTACCTGTTGAGCATATCAGAGAGCATCTGCTATACAAGCTGTTCAAAATTCATTTACAAAAATCACTACTCAGAACACCAGATAGACCACCTAGTACGTTTGTCATCTTATCTTACACGCAGAAACAAACTGTCTTCGACCTGGCACAATCTTCAACGTCAGCTACTATTGGCGAGGGAAGTAAAAGAAAGGTAGAATCAATCAGTACTTCTGAAGAAGCAGATCGCAGTCCATCGACACAAGATGAAAACCCAAGGAAGAAACCAAACGTACAATCAACAAGTCCTTTGCAAAAATAATCAAGGTTAGAAATTAACTTTTGATAGGCCATACTTTTTTTAAGAGCTTTTAACTAAGTTACTTTGTGTGTAAGAACAAAATCAAAGAAGGTGCACCTAATAAATAACCGTAAACACAAATAGTAAGTTCATATATAATAAAAGTTTTGTCGGGTAAAAAATGAACAACATTGTTTGTCCATCTATCTATGCATTCTAACTCTTTGTTAAAATTTAGCAGGATGACATTTGCAAATCTCGAAATCAATTTCTATCCATTAAAATGCTTATTTTATGTTAAAGTACACTTATGCATTTTGCTTATACGGTAAAGCCTATGTTGCTCGCGCTGCAGTACAATTTTGGAATTTTTGAACAATTCAAAACAAATTCTATGTCCAATGTCTTTACAATTCTTGGTCCAAATTACATGTTCTCAACTACTCTTTACACTTAACTCTTAATTTGTTGTTCATACAGATGCCTCATCAGATTTGAAGCGCAACAAAGGTCGCCTCAATGTTATTTGATAGCCTACAGCAGTTGTAATACTTGCATTCAAGGCAGACTTTGGTCGTGTTGTTTACAGTACAATCTTCCAGATTTTGTGTAAATAAGTACGTAGATTTTCATGAACTGTTTACTGCAGTACAATGTTTTACATTTTGTATACATAGCTAGACAAATTGACTCTTATCAAGGTAGATTTTGTTAGTGTTGTTTATTGCAATACAATCTTCCGCGATTTGTGTAAATAACTACGCAAATTTTCATGAACTGTTTACTGTTAGCTATACAAACTAACTCTTTGAATAATCTGGTAAATCCAAGTAGCTCCCATCTATATCTATATATAATATAAAGCTAGGCATAGATAAGGTGATGTGGCGCCTCTCTATGGCCTCCATTCATATTTATCTTTTATCTCTTTTTTGGGACTCTTTCCCTCTTACTTGTTTATTTATTAATAAAAAATGACAAAAGTGAAATAAGAAAAAGAGATGAAGTTTCAGGTTATGAGGAGATTTCAATTATGGATATAAAGAGAGTGCTATTATTAATTTATAATATATCAATTGTGAATAACATTATTGTGAGCTTCTAACGTTTCTTCCACATCTTTCACAATTAAATTACCTTAAAACATCAACAAATTTATTGTGTATTATGTATGATGATAGTGGAAAACTGAAAAGACTGTATATTGTATGCATAAATTTCTATGAATTTGCATCATATCCTTGCCATGGATATTAACGAGAAAATTAGCTACGAGATCGGTCTACCAACAATTGAGAAGGATAGGGCCAGCTCACAAAATTGAATTTATAGAAGTCCATGCACTTCCCTTTCATGACTAAAGGATCGGAGAGTACGTATCAATTTTTTATTGAAGAAGATATCAAATGAATAAGTTGAATCTACCGATTAGTGTTTATTTTTTGTGAGTTATTTTTATTAACAGGGTAAGACTACACAACAAAGGATTTGAATGGGGGCAGTTAAGCATATATATAGAATCATTTCTTTTTCCTATATGAGTCTATGGTATTTTTTTTATGAACTATCTTAAGGCCTTTAAATTAATTTGTTTCATGTTCTTTTCTCAAAGAAATCTGACTTTTGGGACGTAGTACACAATTCACTATATATATATATATATACACCAACGTTTGTGTTTCAAAAACGGCGGTTACTATTCCACCTTTCATAAATTTAATGCTTACCAACGATTGTGTTACAAAATTGTCGTTACTTAGCTTCGACAATTTCATATTCGGTATTTATGAGGAACAACAATAAATGGTAAAGATTCACACCCTATACTTATAAGGTCCTTCAACGTTTTTCAACATCAATATTATTAATTTAATGAATAGTATTCTCGAAAAGAGAGTCAAAACCTTTTATAATGTCCAGTAAGTTTTTTCATTAACTTTTAAGTTATGCCATACATCTTCATACTAAAAAAGAAAGAAAGAAAAGGCGGAAAAAAGAATATTATTGATTGTAAATTTGTAATAATACTGTTATTTTCTTTGCAGGTGGGACGAATTGGCTGGTTGATTCTTATTATCATTTTTTTTCTCTACTACAAGTTTGACCTCCCTTTGTTTTTAATTTCATGCCGTATATGACTATTTTATGAAGCCAATAATATATGTTTTTTTTAAGAACTAAATTATATTTTATTTAATTTCCCAAGCCAATATTTCTTGAGAACTTTTTCAAGAAATGAGCAAATTTGTTTAGATTTTATGAGATTTTTTCATACTTTTAATTATTTAGAGGATGGAAAGGAGCAGCTTTAGAGTGGAGGAGTAGCTGGTTATAAAGAAGGTGTTGAAAAGTGAGAAAAGAAGAAAGGAATAGTTAATAAATATTTTTTTGTTATTCACCAAAATAGTGTAAAATGAATGGGCAGGCAAGGAAGAAAAAAAAAATAAAGAAAAAAAAAGGTAAAAGCAACTAAAAAATAAAAATAAAAAATATAGAAAAGATTCATGTAATTTATTGTAATACCCTATATTTTTATGAAGGGTGTCTTGGTCATTAACAAATAATAATAAGAAACTACTACTACCAAAAAAAAAAGGATACAAGTGGGCTTAGCCCATTAACGTGACTTAAGTCACAAGAGTTAGGGAAAGAATCTGCCAAATTGAAAAAGGGGCAAGGGGAAAGGGATGAAGCATTCAGCTTCAAGAAAACGAAAAAAAATAACAGAAAGAGAGAAGGGAAGAAAGAGAAAAGAAGAAAAGAGAGGAAGAAGAACACAGCTTTGGACAAAGGCTTTAAGAAGAATTGGGGCTTGATATTAAAAATATTAAAGTTCTCCTACAACTCAAGAGGTTAACCTTCTTCTCTCATCTGTTAAATTATTTCACTGAATCTATGCAATTTCATGTAGTACAAAAGAATTCAACATCACCTTTCTCTTATATATACAATTACTATGGAGATAATAAGGCTTTAAAAGTTTGGTTTAAGCACTGATAGGTCTAATTTTAGAGGAATAAATTATACTAAATAGTTTGAAATTGATAGAATTATGGACTAGTTCTATGATTAAATATAAATTCACAAACTAAGACTCAAACATGAATCCCGATGATTGGGTATTCTAAATTAGTGATGGATTTAGCCTAGATGAGTCAATTAATATGAGATCGATATTATGTAATTATAGATTGATTGGAGGAATTTGTACGAGTTGCTTGAGGTGAAGCAGTTGGTATTTCGGCACGAGTACTGTGAGTAGTAATCTTACCATAATTTGTGTTTTCATAACCTGCATGGTTTATATATGATTTTGAAAATAAATGTATTACCGATGCTTTGAAATTGCATGCGGGACAAGTCCTTTACTTGATATGATACCGAACAGTTTACTTGAGATGTTTACCGATTAATCAAAATATTTTCACTGTTACTAGATATATTTTACCGTTACTTGAGATGTTACAGTTATTTGAAGTATTCTCATTGTTACTAGACATGTTTTACCGTTACTTGAGACATGATTACTGTTACCGAAATAAAATTACAAGATTTGATAAGAAATGATATGCCCTTTATTATTTTGAAAATGTTTTGTACGAGTATTTACTATTTGCAAGAAAGAGTATAAATGGGAGGAGACTTTGAAGGATCCCGCAGCTAACGGCGGGTTCGTTAGACCTGGTGCACCTTGTATTTATAGATTACCGATTACCCATTACAGTTATAGCCCTCGCTAGTGGGAAGGTAGAACTAGCATACAGTTACAGTTTTCCCTCGAGTAGGGACCTACAGTTATACTTGACTCCTTTTATGAAGGGGTCCACACAGTGATACAGATTACATGATCTTTTTTTGAAACCTCCCAAATAGAAAGATTTGCTATAACTCAGTATTTACAGAGTTTATTACTGAATTGTGAAATCGATTTTGTTACAGGAAACACATGATGAGACTGATTATTATTACCGTTTTAAAAAAGGCATTTTATCTTGTGATTATTATGCAAGCATGTTTTCTGACTTGTCCCCAATTAAAAACGGTTGTGGTTAAGTGTTATTACTCACTGAGCTAGCGACTCACTCCCCGCTATTTTTTTACAGAGACAACAGTTGACGCGAGCAAGGATTTCGTTAATTAAAGTACATGAGTTGATAGTTCCTGGCGAGCCCCGCATTTGTTCGTGTGGGCGAAGAGTTTATTTATTTATTATGGTCTTTTCTTTAAATTCTTAGAGTAGCTTCATAGTCATTTTTTTAGTGTCATGAGTATTATTTTGCTATTAGTCTTATGTGGAGTATCGTTCTTTATTATCAAAGTCGGAGATCAATTAGTATTCCTGGTTATTAGTGGGTTGATTAGTAATGGTGAAGACTATTTTAGTTAATTGATAAGTTGTCGATTGTTTGAATTGCTATTAGGATGTTTGGTTGCTGATTTGAGACAGGGAAAATTTTTGGGATAGTCCAAAAACAGGGGAAACTCTGTCCGATTTTCTGTAAAATGCCGATGATGCCGGTCACGATCCTGAATTGGGTCGTGACAAAGTTGGCATCAGAGCTTAGGTTATTCTTGTGACTAATGGAGCACACGTCGGTAGTAGAATCTCAATTATGGTTATGTAGCCAGCCATTCCCATAATCGTGATTCTGCGAGGGCGTGATAGAATGTGTCTTGTCTTTCTTTCCTATTCTTCCGTACGTGTGTGGCGATTAGGGTCAAATAACTGAATCTATCATTACTTATCCTATTCGTGTATGGCTCGGACCAATTACCATATAAAAATGCTACATATGTACTATACAAGACCAGTGAAAGGTTCATTGAGCCATATGAGGTACTTTCCGGTAAGATGCATAATAGAGTGCATTTCAGAAATTTATACTAGTACACCACTTCAGCTATAGAGGAGTGCTATCACAAAAAGGTACTTACCTCCATAAAAAAAAAATTGAGGTCTTTATGGATATATTACATAGACCTGAGAAGAATGAGCAACAGAATAGGGGCTCTAAAGTCCTCATGCACCTAGAAGATTATGGGGACCAACAAAATATTCTTAACAAAGTTCCTAAAGTTGAAACTACTAAGTTTACTATTTCTGATAGTTCAAAGGATCTTTAAAGGTTTTAGTAAAATACTTACCACGTTATGAGCTATAGGATATTGCATGAAGAGGTTTATGGAACAGGCAACTTTTAGACTAGAGAACATGGCGAATACATAAAATGCTACTGTACTCTTAGAGATGCCAACAAGAGCAACACAACTAATTTGGAAATAAATTTCACTAAAGTGTTTATGAATCACTTCTTTCTTGACAGTTTGTGACGTGAATTTTCCTGCTAGATCATTTAAGAAATTGATTTAGACGTTGGGTATACTTATATATAACACCAAAATTTCTCACGTGGATACACAAGCAACATCATAAGTTTATAGGCTTGTTGAAAGGTTGGTTAATTGTTTAAACAATACAGTAACTGCATATATGAAGACTTAAACCTATTTTGTGGCAGTTGTACTTACCACAAAGATTGAAAATATGGACATGATAGGCGGGCAAGAATTCACATAAGAAGATCGAAATTAGAATATCTTTTAGTATGGATTTTAATATGAGTCGAAGATTTAAAAATCAAGAATGTTTTGAGATATTAAGCGATCCTTTTCGGGTTGCCACATCTGTAAAAAATTTATAGTAGTTAGACATT